ACTCTTGTTGCAGCATTTTGGATTAGCTGAAGGCTGTTCTCATTCTAATCTCTGGTTTGCTCTTACTTTTATTACTTGCCTTTATTTCATCTCTGGATTTTATTTTTAAGTCATTGTGCAATTAAGAAAACTTCTTTGGAAGTTGTGAAGTGAACAAAACGTTTGCAGGTTTTTCAGAATGCCCCTGCGAGGCTTCTAACCAAATCTTCTAAGTACTCACATGACACATCATTGCTAATTCATTTTTACTGCCTCTCTATTAATTCAGAGTCCACCTTAAGATTCTTCTTATGAGCTTTAGATCCCTGCATTGACAAACACCAGTGTATTTTTGCATTCATCCATCCATCCTCCACAGGTCCCTGAGATCATGTGATCAGGGTCATTTCAGAGGCAGGAGACTGCAAGTTGATTGCACATAGGTGCAATAGTTTTGGTCAGGCAGTGGTCTCCAACCACTGTTTTGTCCAGTGTGACTGTAGCTGGAAGACCGTGGCATGAACAATGCAGCAACATGGTGATAAAGTGGCACTAAGCTGGAATCAGTCTATCAGTCTGCAACTGAATGAAGTCAACTTGAGTTACTTGTCTTAACAAAGCTTCCCTGGAGTTTTTCTTTAGACAAATGAAGAAAAAATGTATTATTATCTGTGATAATACAGCAATTAACTGTGATGAGCTGGAAAAATGGCAATATTGTGGTCTACATTCACGGAAACTAACATTCAGCCATAACCTCACAATGACACAGTGGCTGCAGGATGGCGATTTAAGGCAAAATGATGTAAGCACTAGGCAACCTTGCTCTTCTATAGAAGTATAGTCAAATACAACCAGTTGACAACCAACTGAGTCAATGGATGGATGGATGGATGAAGGTTGCCTCCCAGCGGGCAAGCTAGCCAGCAGGCTGTCACAACTACCTGAAATCAGTTGCCAAATACAAAATCGGTGAAGTCAGTGGACAACCAGTTTAACCATTTGCAAGAAGGCCGCTGTCCTATTTTTACTCTAGTGTGACTGAGCCATTACAAACAGTTTACATGGGCACAACAAAGCGCATCCATGGTTGAGCTATTCGCGTTAACCACTTGTTGAAGCAGAGAACAGTTCGATGGATATAAACTACATTCTCGCAAGCTATGGACATTTTGCTATATAAAATATCAGGAAATGCACAGAAAAATAAGAATGAACAATCTATTTAAACTGTAGGTTGTGTAAATGTTGTTAAAAGACCCTAAGATACTCAAATGATCATTGACCAACAGTTTAGAAAGAGCATTAAATCCTCAGAATTTAGCTGCTTGAACAAGTAAATATTTGGTATTTAACCATTTAAGTCATTAGGCGATTCAGCCCCACTTCAGATAAAGCACATCATCATATCTCATCAGTGACATAGTAGCTAACAGACTCACAACCTGCCAAGATTTCACAGGTTATCATAAAATGTGACCTTGAGAACAATTTGGTTGAATAACTGTTTGGTGATCGCTGTGTGTGACCTTCTCTAAGATCTGACCTGTAGCATAAGAGAAGTAGCGACTGTTGTAAATTATGGACCGACACCATCAGCTGGATGAGCTAAAGAAGCACAAAATTAGTGACACATTGCAAGTTTTGTGTAATTTAAATGTAAAATATTGCATTGAGGTCTGTCTAGAGCTACTTCTAATATTCCAAAGAGGGGAAGGGTATATGTAACGACTGAGGCTGGACATAAACACAATGCTGAAACTCCAGCAGTGTGTACCTCTAGCTCTCCCTTACGCCCTCGACTCCACACTGCTCCTGAGTCCTGAACAAGTTGTTGTGCATCAATATCCATCCTTTTTCTTCTTGTCACTGCTTTGAGTCACATCTTTTCACACAGGCAAATTTGTATACTAAAAACAACTCATATTTCAGACTACATAACAGTTTCACAGAAAAAGCAAGGGTCTTGGGAATTGGTGCAAATGCTGTCTGCCATCTCGGTGTGTTCTTAAGAAATGCGATTTTAACACAAAATCTGGACTCCGACGTCAGAAATGCATTTCGAAAAATAATCAGAAAATAGTACAGCTTTATTCTGCTTCATTAACGGCCAGGTATTTAGTCAGGAGGGAAAAAAAGGAATATATAAAGTCATAACCATTTCATTTCGCAAATACAGTAACTTGAACAATAACAGTGGAAATTAAGTGCAAATATAAAAAGATGCATCGATATAATCACCCTGGCTTGTAAGTTCACAGACTGTACCCATTTCAAATTAACATACAGCAGACTTTAAATTATATCCAAAGCTTTATCAATTCTGCCACAAAGAATTACACATTGTACAATCAACCAGTCTTATCACATTTTTGGCAAGGATTTCAGCTGTTCAAAAGTCTACCTCCCAAATCTGCATGGAGACATACAGACTGTGCAACACTACTGAAATATAACTTAAATGATACAGAGTATTAATTCCATTTTAACAGCAGGATCCAGCAGAAACACAAGAATCTCTCTCTCTCTCACACACTCTCACGCGCACACACACGCGCACACACACACACACCTCAAAGAGGGAAAAAAGTTCTTCAAATTAATTATTTCTCAGTGCAAAAAAATGTTCAAAATTCAAAGTATTAATGTGTTAAAAACGCTGAAAATGTCATTTCATTGATATTCAGTAATAATAGTACTTTATGAATTCTGCAAAATTATTAAGTATCTGTTGCTGACAGTCTTAGTCATAACGACTTTAAAGGATAAGACAGGCCATATTCTATATTTTTACTGTTGACAAAAAGCAGAAGACCGAAAATAGCAGATTTATCCAACTTGCATATTGCAGTCGGGCTCTAGGTGCCAGAGAGCTCCACTGTCATTCTAAAAATACTGAAAATGCATTAGTGACCCACAATTTCAATCCCCCAGACACTCTCCTGCTACTGTACATAACATACAGTATACCACTATTTGAACCTTACTTCTCAACTGTAAAACTCAGCCTTTAAAAAAAAAAAAAATCCCACCCAAAAATCAAGCAGGTCCCTGACCTGTTTTGAAGTTTACCATCTTCTCTAGATTGGAATTTGCTTTGAACTCACTGCTACAGATGACATGGTTAAATTACTCAGCGTCTAAGACCTCAGTCACACAGGCCTAGGGACCGGTTGGCGACCAG